GAGATTGTGAAGAGGAGGCTTGGAAGTTTTTCACATGAAAAATATTAACCTCAAATTGCTGACAAGATACTTAATGGCAAAACTCCACTTTACAGAATGCAGCTCTTAAATGTAGTCAATTTGGGGCCTCAAGTTTCTAGAAGGACATTAACAAATGAGTGCTTTCACAGGTGCCAGCAGATTGGGAAGCCAAGTCTTATATGGAAAATAGGAGGAAAGAAGACTCAGGGGGGTATCAGATATCTGGAGGATTTTCCTGAAGATGAGGCATCAGGTTTGTTCAGTGTGTCTCCAGAAAATCCACCATCAGTGAGTAGAAACCATAGGGTGACATCAAAAATCTTACAAAAGTATAAAAAGTCTTCCATCTTGTCATAATCAACTTTGTTGGGCATTATATGGAATTGGGGCTAACCTGGACAATCTGAGATATATGGTTGTAAAATTTAGGAGAGTCCCTGTGAGCCCAAGGAATTTGTATATTCTTTAACATAAAAATAAACTTTGTGGAACTTTCCATAAGCGAAACAGGCTGCCTCTTCACTTTCCCCACCTATACAATGAGGGGGTTTAATAAAATGAGCTCTAAGGTTCTGTCCAGTTCTAAAACACGGTAATTTTATAATTCAAAATGGTCAGCGGAAAATATTTTTACTTAAATTGCAGTAATATAAAAAAGAACTATCTTTATTTAAATCCTTACATGTAAACATGAAGCAAATTTTAGCTTTCTTATTCTTAATGTTTCCTCAAGAGCTACACGATTTCTATTACATTTAAAATGTATTGATACTGATGTCAGGCTGCCAGTGGTCATGCAAACTGGTACGTGAATTTATTTACATGAAAAGTCTTTTGCAAGTATAAAAATTCTTCCGTATTTTTATACGCTTCATGGCTCAACTTTGTTGAAAATTACATATAATTGGGGTTGACCTGGAAAATCTGAGACCTGTGGTTGTTCCTGGGAGCCCAAGGAATTTTAATATTCTGTAAACAGAGAAACAAATTCTTGGATCTGCCAGCATCATGGAGAAAAATTCATACTGTGGGGGTTCAGAAATGTTCCCGCTTGGTACTTGCAGGTCTCATTAAAATGAAATCACTACAGGCTCCAGAATTTTCCAAAGTGACCAACTGATCCAGATCAGGGATCTAACCAAATCAGTTTAAGACAGGGAGGTCTGATTTCAGCTTTTCAATCCACAGTGGCTTCTCTTTGCTAGCATTATCAAGTGTATCTGAAATTCTCATTACCCTAAATGATCCCATCAATCCTATCAGGTTGCTGACTATGAGAAAAAGAGGAGTGAATGAAGAGACAGAGCTCAAGTGTGCAGAAGGCAATGTGGTTTTAGCATGGAAAGTCCCCTGCTCTGTTCTAGTTGGCAGGATGCCTGGTGAAGAGGGAATGAGATGGGATTCAGACTCAGAAGTTCTGAGTCTAACTTCTGGCTCCATCGTTCGCCACGTGGAGCCACTGATTTAACCTCTCTGGGCTTCAAGTTCATCTTTAATACAAAGATAATTATTAATACAGCCTACTACATATTTTTTCATGTAACATTGAATTTAGAGGGATGATATTTGGCTTCATTCTAGTCTAGACCAAGGAGAGAGAAGTCTGAGTTTTGCCCAAGATTCCTGGTTCAATCTGGGGTCATCACTGGGCAACACTTTCACTGGGAGAATGCATTTGCCTGGTTGTCTTCCTACGTCATGGCCCACTCCTTCTAAAATGCTTTTGCAGAGTCCTCCTCCTCTTCCAGAACCCCAGGCTCATTGCTCACAGCACTTTTCTCTCTACACTCTGGCGAGAAGATCTCATCCAGGGCCATAACTTCAAATATCATCTTTATACAGATGATTCTCACATTTATCTCTCCTGGACCTCTCCACTGAGCTCCTGATTAGTTTGACCATGTGTCCTACTCAATATTTCACGAGAATGTCTAAGAGGCATCTCAAACTTAATATGGCCTAAACTGAAATATTGATTTTCCTGCCCCCACTCTAAATCTCCTTCCTTACAAGCCTTCCACAGCTTAATAAATGGCAACCCATCCATCAGGTTGCTCAGTCAAGAAAAACATCTAGGAGTTATCCTTGATTCCTCCGTCTTTCTCTCTCTCACTCTCCACATCCAATTCATCAGCAAGGTCAGTTAGCACTGCTATCAAACTATATCCAGAAATCAACCACTTCACTCCATCTGCTAGAACCTATCCAAGCCATCACCGTGTCTTGTCCACTAACTCATATCCCTCCTTCCACTCTTGCCCCTGCACAGTCCATTCGCTGTGTAGCGGCCAGATTCTCTTTCTAAAGCACCTCACATTTTTCATTCTCTTATTTAGACTCTTTGATAGCTTTCCATTTTAACTAGAATAAAATCTGAAATAACTGTGCCCTTACAAGAGTAAGCAAGGTCTGAACCCTGCTGACCTCTCTGAGCTCATCTTTCTCCAATGTCTCTTTCCCATTCACTTTGCCCCCCTATACTGGATTGTCTGCCTCTAAAAAATATCAAGCCCATTCACTGTTCAGAGCCTTTGCACTTTTTGTCCCTTCTGCTTGGAAATATGCTCTCTTCTTATCAGTTTGGTCTCAACTCAAGTCTTACCATCTCAGGAAGGCCTTCCATGATCACCTTATGAGAATAGTTGCCAACAACCACCCTCAGACCTTCCATCATATTATCCTATTTTGTCTGCCTCATATCATTTAATAGGAACTGACATTAACTTATTTATTTACTCATCTATATGCTTAGTATTTCTTTGGAGACCAATGAATTGACTAAACATAAAATTAAAAATTAAAAAAAAAACAAACCATTGCCATTGATTTGATTCCAGCTTATGGTGACCCTATGTGTTAATGCTACATAAATTCTTAGGGCCCAAGGAAATAAATTAATACTAGATAATAATACACTGCCTTATACATGCTTAGTTATAGTTATGTTATGAACTTGAATTAGAACAGTTATATTCCACATAATCCTTCAGAATGTTTTCAAAGTGAGAGTAGCAGAAAAATACATTTTTAGGATCACACACCAGCCTAAACCTGCCAAGTGTGGCCAGTTGGCATCTCTTCAAGTAAACGTCTCAAGGGGTGTACTTACATTAACCATTCACTCTGGAAAATACACACACACAGAGACACACACACACGCATACATGCATGCATATGCATGTACAATAGGTTAACAGGCTCCTTCACACTTTAAAGTTAAAGGTGTGGTGGGAACAATGATTTGAAAGTATGGCTCCACAGACCACTTGCACCAGAGTTTCCTGAAGGGCTTATTAAAGATGCAAGCCCCTTGGACCTGAGAGCCCTGGTGATGCACAGGCACAGAGGACACACAAGACCTACATGCAAGGTAGCTGAGTGCCCAGCGGAGCAGCAAGGCAACGGGGAACAGAAACACTGCCCTTCCATCCCACATCCATTTCATTGGACCCTGGTCTTTACCATAAACCAGCAGAGATGCTTCAGGTGAGAATGTACATTTTCGGTGCAAACGGACTGAGCTGAGGATTTCACTCCCAGTTTCTATGGTCTCACAGCCCAACCTGACAGCTGAGGTCACAATAGAACATATATGTAGTGACATGCTCCACACAAGGCAGCCAGGTAGCATCCTGAGTCCAGGGGGGTCAGTGGAGAAATGGGAGGTGAGAGGAGGTGGAGCAGGAGGATACCACATCCAGCTGTGGAGTCACACCTGGAAGTCAGAGCATCTCAGATTCATTGACATGTCAGGACAAAATAGTTTGAAGGTGCTGTCCAGTAATAGCCTTAGTTAATGAGAAAGGATCTGCAGTTTCTGGTCCGAACAGATCGGGTGATATAGTGGAGCACACAGATTCATACAAAAGCAACCTCACATCACCACTTACTCTCTCATGGGAACTTAGGAGAGTTACTTAACTTTGAGCCTCAGATTACTCATCTGTAAACTGAAGATAGTAATAGTATTTACATCATTGTATTGTTGAGAGGCTCAAGACAATGTATACACCCTATTTCAGTACCTGGCAAATAACAAGCCTGCAATTATAATTCTCAGTTTCATCTCTACTGATGTCTTCCTAAGGAGCCCTGGTGGCACAGTGGTTAAGCACTTGGCTGCTAACCAGAAGGTCTGCAGTTTGAACACACCAGCCACTCCACGGGAGAGAGATGTGGCAGTCTGCTTCTGTAAGGATTTACAGCCTTGGAAACCCTATGGAGCAGTTCTACTCTGTCCTACGGGGTTGTTATGAGTTGGAGTCAACTCGACAGCAACAGGTTTTTTTTTTTTTTTTTTTTTTTTTTGGTAATGTCTTCCTGCAAAGGATGACACATTAAACAACAGCCTCTAAGAAGAAGACATGCATCAAGTAGAGATCCATACATGGACCACCTGCAAGGTGGCTCTCACTAATGCATTTCATTCATTTGTTTATTCATTAGTTCATTCAGCAATTTATGGAGCCCTTTCCACATGCCAGGCTTGCAGTATGATGCACAGATGAACAAAATATGTTCCTTGTCTCCTTGAACTTCATAATCCATAGGGGAGAGACAGATGAGCAAACAGACACCTTAAATCAATGGGCTAAAGATATCATTGGGAACCAGGAAAAGGGCACCCAGTCTAGTCTCGGAGGAGCATAGGTGTATGGTGGGTGGGGATAGGGTGGAGGCTAGGAAACAAGCTATGGGCTGAGTCATTTTGCAAAGGGAATGGGATTGGGGAAAGGTCGGAAGGCATTCTGGATGAGCAGGCTATATGCAAAAATGTGCGGAGGTGTACGGGAACTTCAGGAACATTTATTAAGTTAAACCATATGGAATTGCTGTTTTGGTAGGTCAACATACTCAAATATTGGAAAATTCATTTGGTTCAAGCAGTTAAATTGAGTGAGAGTAATGTACAAAGTTGAGCCGTAAGCAAGGGTTAATTTATTAAATAGAGTTCAAGTCTGAATAAACAGTCTTCCTTATGATGCTGTCACTGAATAATTCTCACTAGAAATAATTATGGATGTGACAAATGTATGGAGAACAACGGTTATCACCAAAGACTGCAAGGAGATGTAGGTGTAAACATTTTCCAAACTTTTATATATAATTGGATCTCCATTTTAGAGAAAATGACTCTGTGGCTTTTTCTTCCTCCAGCTGTTTTGAGGCTTTAAATTTTATCTTAAAAACTCTTGGAAACATCCCATCAGAATAAGTGAAAGACGGAAGAAATATCAGGCAGTTTGTATTATTGTGGGACTAGTTTTATTAGAACAAGCATTTACTATACTTCTTATAGCTGTAAGCAAAGCATTAGAATTCATCAGCCTACCTCATATCTCTTCTCTGCCAAGGGGGTCCTCCTTACCTCTGTGTTTTGGAAATAATATATATTTGGGGTAGGTAGAACAAAGAGCTTCACTGAACAGTTTATTGCAGATACACGTGATTGCAAACTTTTAGCAACTAGAGGACATGTGTGTATATGAGGTGGAGTAGGACATAGGTAGAGAATTCCCAACGTTGCCCACAATCCCACCTAGTTTAACCACTTAGCTTCAATGGTAGGCTCCAGAGTTTCAGCAGGGAGAACACAGCATATGCATTATCTTCATTCAGACTGCAAATAACCCACAAATCTCCCAGCACTTTCTCATTATAATTCATTAGCAGATGCATTCACATTTTTATCAAAATGCTGTTGCATGGTAACACATGTCCACACAAAGCCAGTACACAAATGTTTATAACGGTTTTAATCATAATTGCTAAAAACTGATAACAACCTCAATGTCCTCTATCAGGTGAGTGGATAAATTAACTGTGGTACAGACACATGACAGAATGCTATTTGCAAAAAGAATATAAAAGAACAAACTATTGATACATGCAGCAACATGAATCTCAAATGCATTATGTTCAGTGATAAAGTCTGCCTCAAATAGCTATATAACTGTATGATTCCATTTATATGAACTTCTGGAAAAGACAAAACTATTGGAATAAAGAACAGATCAGTGGTTGTCAGGGGCTGGGGATAGGGTAAGGGGATTGACTATAAAGGAACACAAGAGCACTTTTCAGGGTGATGGAAAAATTCTACGTCTTGATTGTGGTGGTGGTTACTCAACCATCTGCATTTGTCAAAATTAATACAACCATATACTTTTAAAAAGATTAATTTACTGTATATAAATTATATCTTAAAAACCCCCAGACTTTAAAAAATGCCTTGTGCTTTGTACACTTCAAAATGCCACTGATATGAACCATAAAAGAATTACCCAATTTGTTGAATGCATTTTTGCACACTCTTAAGGCCCGACCATGTGGGGAGAAATTATTTTTTCACACCAATTGGACAGGAAACTCCTGTGCCACCGAGCCCACAGTACCCATCAGAGTTCTTGCTTAGGTACTGCTGGTGGTAGTCTTCTGCATAGTAGAAGGTCTGCGCCTCTCGGATGTCGGTGGTGATTGTGCCATAACCATTCTGGGAGAGAACCTGTGCAGAAAGAGGAGCCATTAGGGCCTAGGTGCTGAGCAGAGATCGTCAGGACTAGGAGGTACTGGAGGGTGGGGTTTTCAGTGAAGCAGACACAGGTAGCTTAGGTAGGTAGTTCAGGACTGGACTCTGCCACTTCCCAGCTGTGTTATTCTGGGCAAGCCACTTACCTCTTTGTGCTTCAGTTTACTGGGATTTGACATCAGTATTTGTGACGCTGTAACTTATGCTCTACCCACTACACCGATGCTGCCTCAGTTGCGTGTTGGGGATCCCTGCTTTGGACCCTGTTGGTCTGTTTGAAACTGGCCCCAGTGGTCCCCTGAGGAAACAGCAGATACATGTGGCTCCCTGGCTGTCCTTGAGGAAAGAACAAGCATCCTCAGAGAAGACCCAAGTGGGGCTGCAGTAGAAGGAAATGGAGGGGCACCACAGGGCAGGGACCGGGCAAGCAGGGCTGCAGCCCAGCCCAACCCAGCTCTGCCGCCCTCTGCCTGCCAGCCCAGGAAGAGGCCCTGGTCCACTCACAGGTCAGCACTCCCAGAGCTGGACAGAGGACTCCTCCAATCACTGTGGTTCTGGGGAGCAGGGACCTGGCTAGGACCTTCTGAAGAGCAGGGGTCATTTGGGGACTGTGCAACTCCCTGGCTACTCAGGGCTGGGGAACCTGGGGAATCAGGTCATGGGAGGACATGGCCTGAGGGCCTGTGTCAGCTCATCATCACCCTCTCTGACCTAGTTTAAGTCCTGATGGTCTCATGGCATCTGCTGCAAGGGAAAGAAACAGAACACATAAACACAAGTGAGGGAGGAAAGCAGAGCTATTTGGGGCAGGAGACAGACTAAGAAATAGAAATTGTTCCCCCTGTGGATTTTAGCCTGTTTCTTTTCCCATTTGGATTTAAACTGTGCCCTAATTCTTATGACAGGCTACTTGGGAGTATTTGGGCACAAGGCGGCAGAGACTTAACCCCAGTTTCATGGATTCTGTTTGGTACAGAGGTGCAAGGTAGAGACCTGGACTTGAGTTTTCATAAGTGAATTGACCAGACTCTGACTGTTGGTCCTTGAGATATAGTTCTCAAATCTGTTGAGTATGTTGAATCTAATACTAATATAATATGCAGCATTATTCCACTGCTTTAGTTTTTCCTGAGGACTTTCCCCTTTTTTCTGAATCTCCATCCCTCTGAGCCAGAATGAGGCAGATTGATGATTCTAAAGCCAAGCAGGCCTGGAATGGTAAGGAACAGGATTCAGGCCAAAGAGGGTGGATCGGTGATCAAATAGTTCAGAAACAGCCAGTGCTCTCATAGGGGTTTGAAATGATAATGAGTAGCCATTCTAACTTCGCTTTTGATGATTTTTTTTCTTGTAAACTGACAATTATTAAGAGCTTACCATATACCACACTCTTGCTAAGAGTTCACAAGTGTTAATTTTAGCCCCACAACAAGCATATGAAGGAAGTACTTTTATTATTACCCACAATTAAGAGTATATGTTAGATATTGTTTCTTGATCCCTAACATTCTAAGCTTGTCTTAGTATTGCAGAGGTTGAGAGCTTGGAAACATTTCCCAGATTCTGTTGCCAGTAACATTCCAGTTCAGATTCCACCAAAGAGAGACACTCACATGAAATTTGGAGGGTTAAATAAAAGGAAAGGAGCCCTGGTGGCACAGTGGTTAAGCGCTCGGATGCTAACTGAAAGGTCAGTGGTTGGAACCCACCAGAGGCTCTGTGGAAGAAAGATGTGGCAGTCTGCTTCCATAAAGATTACAGCCTTGGAAACCCTATGGGGCAGTTCTACCCTGTCCTATAGGGTTACTATGAGTCAGAATTGACTCGATGGCAACAGGTTTTATTTATTTATTTATTTAATAAAAGGAGACATTATTATTCCCAGTCACAGCTGTGAGAATGGACACATATATCTGCAGATAGCAGACTTGAGGCTTTGCCATACTCCTAAGCATCACTCTCTCTGGGGTTAGGGGCAATGCAATCATCGCCAATGATTTCTGGCAACTTCTGTGGCCTCTGGTATCCTGTTAACCCTAGTGGTGATTTTCCCTGATCTTCATTCACTACAACAGCCTTTCTAATGATTCTGTCAACACTGAATTCCCTATGTTAAATCCATCCTCCTTGAAATATCTAGAATACTTTCTGTTTCCGTGACTGAACCCTGGCTAACAGCATTCGGTACCACAGTTTTCAGGAAACAACCTAAAAGATGAGAATCTAGAATTGGTTAGCTAACATGGTTAGATTTAAAGTAAAGAACAGCCTCCTCATTGCCGGTGGAAAATGGACTAGTGCCACGGTATGTAGTAGCAAAATATTCACTTAAATTAGCATTAGCATTTGCCTATAAAGAAGTGCCTGTTGAAGGAATGCTTTGGGACACCAACGGATGTGGCAATGGAATATTTTGGTGAAATTCAAAGTCAGGGTCTGTGGGATGTGCTATCTGCTTCAGACAGCACTAGAAAGCTTATAGAAAGAAAATCACAAGTCCAGGACTTACTATGGGTCCAAGGCAAGGCCAGAGAACCAGAGAGCTTCTAGGAATGATTTGAAATAAACTTTTGTCTCTTGTTACTGTATCTAAATACCAAATGAAAAGTTTGATCCTAAGGATTCCAGATTTACAATGCAGTGGAGTTCACACCCTCAATAAATCTAAAGCCCAGAAATAATGTGCACATGTGATTACCCTTGAGCGCTCATCTACTCACATTGTTTCAAACACCACCCACTGAGAACCTTGCCTCCAGTTCTCGCCCAAGACGCTCTCCCCAACAAACCTCCTGTCTGCATGACTCTTTCATATTTTGGCCTCAAAAATTTCCCTACTCTGGTCAAAACAATCAGAGCTTCCACCTCCTTCATCCCTCACATCAGAATCACAGCTCCCAGATCTGCCCCCACCTCTCTGCTCACTCTCCTGGTTTGGCTGTATTCTCCTTGTGGGTGAACAGCACCATAGCAACCTCCTCACAGACTGCCTGCCTGTCTTCAGTCCTTTACAAATTATGTTTCTCCTTGTATTAACAAGAATGGCCTTCCTGAACCCAGGAGTTCACAACCATGGTTTCTGAGAAACTGCTCTACAAACGGCTTGCAGGGAAAGGGGATCCTACCAGCGAAGCAGACAGTGAGCTTTACTAATCAGGCTCCTCTTCCCCCTTGCCCCGGCAGATGCCTCACAGGGCACGATGTCTGACACAAGCTCTCATCCCGTACCACTGCCTATGATCACCACAGTCCCAGAGTGATGCACAACGCCAAGTTTTGGGGAACAGTGGGAAGGGAGGTTGAGAGGTGGGGGCCTGTCAGTAGCAGTTCTTTGCCAGAAGATGGCAGACTCTTCACTTTTATTTGAGAACCCCCCCTAAACAAACAAACAAACCCATTGCCATAGAGTTGACTCCAACTCATAGCTACCCTATAGGACAGAACAGAACTGCCCCATAGGGTTTCCAAGGAGTGGCTCGAGGATTCGAACTGCTGACCTTTTGGTTAGCAGCTGCAGCTCTCAACCACTGCACCACCTGAGAGGAGGAAAAAAAAAAAAAAACCACCCAGGAAAAAACAGTGATGAAAACCTACACAAGATGGAGCTACAAGCCGCTTTCCTGCACCTCCCGTTAAGCTTGGACATTGTGGACAGGTCTTGCTAGGGTGGCCCATAAAAGCTGCGACACGCAGGCCTTTGGGTAATGTGGTCCCCTCTGTATTCAGTCAACCGTGCCTCCAGGCTGGGGCTGTCACTGAGCCCAGGCCTTGGCTACCCTCTTCTCCCCTCTGCATTAAAGCTGGGGGGAGAGTAGGGCAAAAACAAGTGAAAGGAACTGGATGCGAAAGAAGAGGAAATAGGAAAAAGAAAAATGATGATCTGGTCGGCTTTCTTTTCCCTTCACATCCCCCACCTTCCCCCCCATCCCTACCCTCTGCTTTTCATTTGCATCTCCACAATATCAAGTAGCTCCTCTCAGATGCCTCGCAGGCCCTGCGTCTCTCCTCCATAGGGTCTTGCCAGACATACACAGACTGGATGTGATGCAAGGGATTCTGCAGTGATTTGCTCCCGGACATTTTTTTTTTTTTTAAGATCGTGTCTCATGACTTTCAGTTTTGCAGCTGTCATTTTTAATTGCTCTTTCATTCCATCCCTTTTACTGTGACTCTGCTACATGTTTGGCAGAAGCTACAGGGTTAAATAAAACATACCTCCCTCCAGGGACTGCAGGCTTGTTAATCTTCCAAAATTGTAGCTTGGTCTAATTATTCCCCACAGAATCTGGGAGAGTATACGTTAGTAATACATCTCCTTAAGCCAAGGAGAGGAAAACCTCTCCCTGGTCCCTTAGGAGACTATGAAAAGCCCTTCCTGGCTAGGCTCCATTCCACTTCCTCAGCCTAATCTCTTCACCTTTCTCTAAGTCTTTCATTTCCCTTCCCTTGTGTGTACTATTTGCTTGATTCATGTTGAACTTCACCTATTTCCCTGAACGTTTTACTCCCTTGCACATGACCTCCTTGGAATGTCCTTTCCTCTCTTCCTTGTTGCATGAATTCCTCAGTGGCACCCAGGCTAGCCATCCCTGCCTCTAGCACTCTAGCACTAGGTCAGCGCCTCTCACAGAAGACTTTGTGCTCTCCCTTCAGGCTCTAACAGAGCCACCTTTTGGCATAGGAATGGGTTAAGGCTACAAAAGATTTACCTGGTTAATGTGAAGCCCAGGTCGGCTCAAAAGTCCTTCTATGATGCTGCCAGGAAATACTGGTTTCTTGCTGGTCAAATCCCAGAGCCCAGCTCTGCCCTCTGAGGGGACAGTAGGGCAAAAACAAGTGAAAGAAACTGGATGTGAAAGAAGAGGAAATGAGAAAAAGAAAAATCGTTACCCCTGCCCAAATATTCCTTTTCCTCTTCAGGCTCCAGAGCTTAGTCTACCCACCACTGGGTAGCCCCTGTAGCTACCTTTCTGAAA